TAGACACTCCATTTTTTTACCAACCCTCACAGAACTGAACCTTGGTCAATGTCGATTCATTTCAACAAATAATGAATAAATTGCAAATAAGCATCTTGAAAATGTTGGCAGTAAATGTTAGCAAGCAAAAGTTCAAATTCCACTCCAAAGAAAAAATACCCACCTGTAATAAAATGCGGACAAGTTCTGTACTGCCAAACCGAGAGGCTTCAAGGAAACACTGGTTAACATTGTCTGCACCCCCTCCACCAACATATCCAACAATCCTTGGATAACTGTGGCTGAGATCCCAGAAGCCCAACCAGAATCAAATGAGCTAGAGAATAGAGTAAGAGGAAAACAAGCTGCATCAAATGCTTCTGTAAAATCTAGTGCAGAGGAGCATCGAAACACTAAAATGGGTATAAGTGTTCCATCCGTAAAAAAACACTAAAAAAAAATCCTTGTTCGTCTCAAACTATCCCAGCGAAATATGAGAGATCCAAGGGACAAAGGCCAAGCCTAGAACAAGAAAATCCAAATTCGATAGATATAATCCGACAATTCTAATCAGAGAAAGACGAAGAAGGAACACAAGGAAAAGAGAATTCATATAAGAAGCATTTATGCATACAAACAGATGAGTTTAATCAGTAAAAAAAAGTAGAAATGAAAGCAAAAAGAAAGTAAGAAAGGGAACCTGAGTAATAGAATGAGAGATGGAGAAAGCCCTCTCTGACGCCGGTTGATTTCCTGGTAGTTTGCTTGGTACGAGCCATCGGTATGATAATTTGATGAGAGAAGTCTTATATCCCACATCTTTAAGATAGAAGGAAGTGCTCCACAAGTGATCCTATAAATTAAAGCTCAAAGTCATGGTTTAACTTATGGAGCCGCTTGGTGATGAATCGAGCTTGAACAAGCTTGAATTGAGCTCGAGTCTTGAGTTTAAGATGAACTTTTGAAATTTTTTTGAATTCGAGTCTTTTTTGAGTTTGAGTTGAGTTTTAATATTATCTTTTGAGTTTGAGTCAAATTTAAAAATTTTAAACTTGTAAGTTTTTACGTCGAGTTGAGTTTATATTTAAAGTTTTTAAGTTAAGTTAAGTTGAGTTTGATAATACTCGAACTCGATTTGACTCATTTACACTGTTATTTGGGGCTATGTGGCTGTTTTGCATAATCTTTACCCACATGCACTTCTCTCCTATTGTCTTCATCTTGAAAGCCGTTTAGCTTTTATTTATTCTGAGAAAAATTCAGTGCTTTATCCTGTTTGATTCCACTGTATACCTGTTGCGGAAATTGCTGGTCCCGTGTCAGATGATAAATCATTTTAAGCCAAAAGAATCTTGCTCAGGTTTTGGCACCAATCCCTCTAGAAACAAACCATTCCATTTCTGGTTTGGTTTTCAAGCGTCTGGTCTTGTTCACATGGATTGATCTTCAAGTTCCGTCCATGTTAGCTGTCAACTGGGAATTTGTGCTTCGTTAGACCCTTTTCTTTTTGGATCAATGAATGGCCTTAGGCTTGCCCTAAGATAGCAGCAATCACTAGATTTTAACAATATGCAAATCAAAACACTATTCATTTCAATCATTCCCATCGGCAATCTCTCTCAAATGTAGTTGGATTTCCTAGTAATCTGTGCACTCATTTTCTTTCTTGATGATCTCTTCATGTGCCGTTGCAGGTTGTCTCTGCAACAAGCTTGTCTTAGCAATTTAGGTCTGCTGTATGCTACATAAAAATAATTATGTTCCATGGAACGACATTGACAAAACTGGAAAATGGAAATGGCAGCTTGCTTTGTCAAGAGTCGCATGCCATGGTTTTTGTCCGTTGTCTTGAACAACAAGAAGATAAAAACAAAGGCAACAGTTGCCATTTCTCAAATCCACATGGGCATAAAAAGCAGAAAAAAGATTATCCAGATGAATATATAAAAAGAACTACTTTAATGACTTTTATTGGCATGAAGTAAAGGACAGTCCTTGATAAGCTAACTTACTTCCTAGAACAGAGTTTTTGCTGCCTTAACGAGAAGTAAAAGTGTGGCATTCCAGACGTTGTATCATAACAGCGGTATCTTATATGGATTTGCTCCTTGCACCTTTTCCCTTTACCATTGAGTGCGGATTCCAAAGCATATTCTTGTAAGATTGTGAATCGATCGTATTTTTTAACAGCGATTTTTTTTAATCAAATAAAATCAATGAAAATTTAGAAAACTTTCACACTATTAATTAATTTATTTTCATGTCCATAGAAAACTATGGAGCAAACAACAAAACAATGCAACAGACAACCTAAGCCAAAAGTAGGGTTGTTCATTCGGTTTTCGGTTAAAACCGAACCGAACCGAATTAATCATAATCGAATTAATCGAATTTTTTTTAACCGTTAATCGAACTAAACTTTTTTTCGAAAATATTAACCGAACCGAATAAATTTCAGTTAATTCGGTTAATTTTCGAATTAACCGAAATTTTTTAAAATTTTCTAATTTACAAAAAAATTAAATGTTTTTTAATTCAAAAAAATTATAATTAATTTAATTAATATATAATTATAAAATAAAAATTTCAGATAAATTTTTTAATTAATTAATATTGATTTAGGTTTAAAAGTTATTGGATATTAAATTATTAATTGAGTTTTAAATGGTTTGGACTTAGTTCATATGTTATATATAATATATTTAATATTTTTTAATTAAAAAATAGTTTACAATTAATTTAAATAATATATAATTATACAATAAAAATTTTATATAATTTTTTTTAATTAATTAATATTGATTTAGGTTTAAAAGTTATTGGATCTTAAATTATTAATTGAGTTTTAAATGGTTTGGGTTGAGCTCATATGTTATATATATAATATATTTAAAATTTAATTTCAATTAATTAACCGAATTCGAATCGAATTAACCGTTAACCGAATTCTAAAAATTTTCTTAAGCGTTAATCGACCGAACTAATTCGATAACCGAACCGAATTAACCTAACTAATTCGGTTCGATCGATTAACCGAATTAGTTCGGTTATTTGAACACCCCTAGCCAAAAGCATTAAAATCATTCAAATGGCCGATCAAAGGGAAAACACCAACAATAAAATTCCTAGATATCATCTCCCCGTGCTTGGATCCTACGCACCCTCACTCGCTATTCTTATTCGATGCCTGCATACTCAACATTTTTCTTGTGTACCCGCCTTAGTGTTTTCTTGTGATTAGTAGGGGAAGGTGATAGCCTAACCGGGGGTTCCTAGGGTTGTATAATGTCAACTGGTGTAGGATCCTTCCCTTGACGAATGGACCCCATTGCCTAGCATGAAATACAAATGTGTTAGGGTGACATGGCAAGGAAAAATATATGTGATGGGCGGTTTCACCCAAAGAGGTGAATCCGATATAAACCTGTTGACATTTGCTCCACAGCATAGCTCCGCCGAGGTGTTGGACACGCGTGCCATGGGACCTCTCAGAGCAGATTTGGAAACTGAATATTCCACCTAATCAAATCGTTGAAGTGGATGGCAAGTTGTTTAGCTCCGGGGATTGTCTCAAGCCATCGAAAGCTCACATTGATGTGTATGATGGGATGCAGAATATGTGGAACGAAGTAGATGGGTCTCGTTTCCAAACTCTTAATTCACCAGTCTCCGCATTAGGTGACAATAACAATGAAAATTGGCCGCTAATGGAACGACTTCACTTAACAATGGCACCAATAGGAAACCATATATACTTCCTGGCAGGGCACCGGATGGCCGGTGAATCGCCACAAACAATTTAGACGGTCTATGTATTTGATACATCGGCAACTGTTGATGCACGGAACATCTTAGTCATTTTTGTGTCGTTCAACTCTAGTGAGCAGTCTTAGCCATCTCCACCTTTATTACTAAGGTTTACTATGGTTGTTTAATGTGTGTGTTTAATTGATGAAAAAAACACCTCTTTAGTTGCCTTTGTGGATGGTGAATTAGTATGTTTAAGTCGTGTAAAATACTATTTACTTCTATAAAAGAGCAATTTTATGAGCACGTTTTGAAGCAAGAAACAATGCCGCTTTTTTTTGCCTAATAACGATAACGGATTTTTTATTAGCCATTAAGGCATCTCGATTTATATTTTGGGATCTAAGTCATTTCTATTGTGTTATTAGAACTCATCACGTCAAGATTACGAGTTTTAATAAAAAATATTTTTTTATTCGAATCATCACGCCAAGATGATGAGTTCCAATAAAATATTTTTTTATTAAAATCTATCACATCGAGGTAAAAATTAGAATAAATTTTTATATTAAAACTCGTCACTTCGACGTTACAAGTTCATGTCATTGTAAAAAATATTATAGATCCTAAAATAATTTTTTTACTTGCCCTATTAGACTAAATAAAAATCCATATACCTTATTGGGCCATTTTACCAAACAATGGTGCTTTCTAGTTGGGCGTATCATCAAATAGACAATAATTTCCAGTTGTCGAGCTTCTTTTCCTCGCAATTCACTTTGCTTAACAATAACCCAAATAGGTCTAAGATCTTTCATATTTAGTAATACAAAAAAGTATCTTGTAATAAGGGATATAATTTAGTAAAGAAATTATATTTTATTTCTATTTTATTCATATTAAATAATAAGGAATTTATAATAATAATAAGGGATAAAATTTTTGTATGTGGTGCTATCGCTCACTTTAATTCGACCATAAGTTTGTCAAGATATTACTTTTAATGGGCCCAAGTCTGTGGACTCTATGAGACTTAATTATTAATATATTTATTGAAACTCTGTAATTTAAAATATATAAAATAATTATATTTTTTAAAAAAAATCATGGCACTCATGACAAGTTTTATTTGGATTTAAAAATCTAGTAGTTAAGTGTACGTTGGGCAACGAATAAATTCCAATGGCCATAAACGGCTAGCCATGGAACTAGCCATATGAGCATGACGAGTTCCATGTGATCGTTGGAATTGAAGTATAAATAATGGTTTGGGGGTTTAGAATTATATTGTGATTTATTGAGAAGCAAAATAGTTTATTGAGCGGGAAAAATGTGATTTTAATGATTTTGTGGTAAAATGTCTACACGGAAACAAATGATACATCTTGATCATATCCATATTTCACCGCTTGAACGGACTCCACTAAGACTTATTTCTTTTTTTTTAAAGTTCAATTATAATATTAATGTGTTGTTTTGAAATTTTTATTAGTTGTTTGAATTTTAAATTGTAAGAAGAAGAACAAGGCATTTATCATCGAGGAATGAAAAATGCACCCCACATAAGTGGATTGCTATTATCTATAACAGTCCAGATTGTATGCTATCACATTTCTTCGTTTTCGAGTGGTGCCTGCATTGATTTCGATGTGATTAAATGTTAGAGATCTGAAACTCATATGTTTTATTTTCCGAGTGGTGAACACGATGATTACTTTAGAAAATATGGCTTATCAACTCGGTGTTCCAATAAATGATGCATCGTTGGTGAAACAAAACAATGAAAACAGAGACGTGATTTATGAGGAATTATTGGGAAAGGTATCACCGCAAGATTTCGCATATGAGTTTTGATTCAGATGACGTGGTTGGAGAGTGATATTTTGTAATACCCCAAAATTTCAATAAGCGGCCAAAATGTAAATTTTGAAAGTTTAGAGACCAAAGTGTAAAGTTGGAAAAGTTTAGTGACTACAAATATAAATTTTCAAAAGGTACATTTTGGGTTTGTAAATGAGTAGTTCAACCCAAGAATCATATTTTAGTGGGTTTCAGATTTGGAGTTTGTATAAAAGTTATTGTAGGATAAAGTTTGCTAAATATTAGGATAAACGGATCTAATTGGAAGTTTTTACAAAAATTTTGAAGGAAGATAGTTTTAGGTTAGAAATTATATTGAAAATTTACATTTTTAGTCCCTAAAATTTTCTAACTTTACACTTTAGTCCCTAAACTTTTGAAATTTACATTTGGGCATCTTGCTGAAGTGTATGTAGCCCTAGCTATCTCTCCGACTGATTGGAGGGATATTGTATCAGATTAATCCGATAATTTGGTGAACACTCAATATCTTTCGTAAATGAAAAATTTTGGTGACCGTCGTCAATATAGTTGGGGTTATACAATTTTGGTATTTTTATACCGTAAACTTTGCAAGATTACATTATGGAAAGGGTCAAAGAGCGGATGTAGCGGGTTGTCTAGTCTTATTACAATCGTGGCATGGTACCGCTTTCCATTTTCTATTCCAATTACAACAGCTCCAGTTGAGTTTCCTCTCGTTGCAAGGTAATTTCTTAAATTTATAGTTGAGTAAATTTCTATTAGTAATAATATGTTTAGAAAGTTTGAATAAATATTGTACTTGTATTTGTATTTATTATGTTGTTTAGATGACGACATAAGATTACTAATACAAATAGTAGGTGCAAGAAAATTAATGTATGAATAATGATCAATTTCTCCGGTAGATATGCATTAAATATTCTAATTTTTTGTATAACTTTTACATTAAGAGAATTTATTTTTATTATATACTAATGTAGCTTTGTTGTTTAGATGACGACATAAGATTACTAATACAAAATAGTTAGGTGCAACGAAAATTAATATGAATAATGATCAATTTCTCCGGTAGATATGCATTAAATATTCTAATTTTTTGTATAACTTTTACATTAAGAGAATTTATTTTTATTTATACTAATGTAGCTGTTTACAGTTTAATTGGATTATGTATTATGAGTCGGATATCCAATGATGTCTACCATATTCTTTTTGAAGAAATAGAGACTTGGTGTACCGTAATGTCGTTGCTTCATTTATCATTGTTGGATCCATACCGCAAATAAAGTGTTGCATCAACTTGGCTCTCATCAGCCCATTCAACACAAATATTTTACATGAACGAATTGCACAAATTAATATGCATGAGAAACATAAAGAAAATTGGCTAAGGAAGTATGTTGCATACATATAACATGGAATGAGAGACATTTGTACGTGTCTATTCGTTCTGACGTTATACCAAATGATCTTGATTTCTCAATATCTCCCTACATTTAAAATTATGAAGCAAATGAAATATCGATCATATTTAACAACGTCGGGAGATAGGGTCGAATGGGAAGAAATGAAGACAAAATATGCTAAGAAATCATCAGCTTCTTCTTCTTTTTCTTCTTTTGTCGATTATTTTACTTCTCAAGCAAGTTATGTTTTATATCCCTCATATCATGTTTCAATGGATAATCGATCAGAATGGAATGTAGTGCCACCCTCTCAACCAGCTTCAAGAGAAGATGTGAGTCCATGGGATCCATTTATATGCTCAATCATCTAGTAATTTTAATGTGCATTTTGAGTCAATGACGTCAATGATGATGTCAAATACTTTGAATATTCCATTATTATTACCCGAAGGTTTAAATAAAAGTGGTGGACTGATTGTACACTACATTAGTTCAATAAGAAGAATACATTAAAGAACGTGATAAAGACGAAGGCGAAAGGGGATAACTTTATCATTATCATTCAATTACTCCTCGACATCGTCAAAAATTAAAAAATATATGTAAATTTTTATTATATTAGTGATTGTATTTAGTCATTAGTTTGTAATAAAGTATTAAAAAAAATAAAATTATTATTTTTTAAAAATTAAATATTATTTTTAAATGATTATATTCTGATTTTTTTTAAATTTCACGGGATTCGACATGTCCACATGACGAGTTCCAGTTGGATTTAAAAAAAATGTTTGTTACCCATCATTCACTTAACGACTAATTTTTAAAAATCTAAATGGAACTCATCATGTTCACATGACAAGTCCCATGATTTTTAAAAAAAATATAATTATTATATATATATATATATATTAATGGAACTCGTCAAATGGATATGACTAGTTCCAAGAATATATTAAATAATTAGGCCTCACGGGGTTACAGACTTGGGTCTATTAAAAAATAATATATGGGCAAACTCGACATGTGGGCATGACAAGTTTACCCTGCACAATAATAAATATTGTATTTTTCAAAATAAAATTTGAGTTGGTCTATTGGGCCAAATAAATAGCCTGCTTAAATTATAGGTCCAATTTTACCGAGACTGGGTCAATGAAAAATTGCGGTAAAAGATAGAAGATGCTTCTATCATCTTTTTTTATAATTTGAATAAATATAAGGTAATATATGTTCAAATATGATTTTAATTATTTAAAATTGAATGCTTATACTTATGATATTTATAGTGTTCGAACTCAAAACTTAAAAATATAATAATAATTCTAAACCCACAAAAGAATAGAAAGTCCAAATCTCATGCCAACAAAAAACACGTAAAATATGTTAGCATCCGAAGTTAGCAAGAACCACCATGCACCCACCGGCGGATGCACGTACATCTAAGGTGCGTTTGGTTCACGGAATGTAAGATCAGTGGGAATAAAAGATTACCAGGGAATAGGATTACTGGGAATGTTGTATTTTGTGTTTGGTTGGTTTAGTAGGAATGTAAGATTACCATGTTTGGTTAAATGAATAAAGATTATTGGAATGTATATTTGACCAAATTGTCCTTATTATATATATTTTTAACAATTTGAAAAATATTTATATATTTTATTAACAAGTTGGAAAATATTTATATATATATTTTTTAAAAATTTAAATTCATAAAATTTATATACTTTTTTTTACAAAATTGAAAATATAAAAAGATTTAATGAAAGAGTAAAAATTTATTTTAACCCCTGAACTTCATATAAAATTTTAATTATAGATTTTTTGTAAATCTAAAATAGTTTAAGGATAAATTTATTATTTAACTTTCATAGAATTTTTATTATTCAATGACAGAATAAGATATTTTTGAAAGAAATTTTTTTAAGGGCATTTTAGTCCAAAACGCCGGTAATCCAACAATACCTAAGGAAAGAGAGGTAATGACATTCCCGATAATATACCCCCAAAAATCCACTATTGGTAATGTAAGATTATCGGGAATGACATTCCCGGCCAACCAAACGGGAGAATGTGGATTATATTCCCATGTGAATCTCACATTCCCCCAACCAAACACACCCTAAGGGTAGATACATACCCATTTTGAAATCTGATTTTTTTATATTAATTGTTATTTTATTGAAGATATTTATTCTAAAATTTTATTGTATCAACTCTAAAATTTAAATTTCTTTATATTAATTGTTCATTTTACTAAAGGTATTTACACTAAAATTTTATTTATATATGCTCTATACATACAGTTGGTAAAAAAATTTTATATTAATACAATTTTTTTACCAACTGTCCCACTCCCCGATGATTGAATGCTTGGTCAATTTCTACACGCTATCATACGTGTGATGCAGCAGTACACGTGTGAGACTCTGTTAACGAAGTCTTACCCAGTTGACTCACTCTTATTAACACCATATCGACGGTTATGATCCGCTAGACAGAAACAAGTGATCGGGGCCGTTGAAACAAGGGACAATCATAGAATTTTGATGTCCACATGCTGCTTAGAAAAGGCCGACAGAAGAAGCCCGGTGATGTGTATGATTTTATCTCTACCTCTTTAGCTGCAAGTCCTTTAAGAATGCCCATCCAACATGATTTGGCACATGGAGATAAAATCAAAACAAAGAGTTCGCATTATAAGGATAAAAAGGAAAGTGGATTAAAGATGTTAGACATGATTGTGATTCTAACTTTACAAAGTGGTGCAAAGCTGGTCCAACCATTTGGATAGAAAGGTTGCTGGGAACTTTGTCCTAGAATTAACAAAAGATAGATGTATAATTTATCAAGTAGTTTTAGTGATAAAAAATATTATTTTTTATATAATTTAAGTTTAAATACTTGTATTTGTGTTATTAATTGATTAGTAAAAATTTTAAATAGATACTAAGATGTTGAATCTCTTGAATATTTTAGTCTTACACGAAAATAAGTCCAACTCAAGCAAAAGGCCAAAACTACCTAGTCTCGGACTCGATTCCATGAGGGCTGAAATAAAAAACTTAAGAAATCAATTTCAACTCTTAATTTTGCTTATCCTTCCAAAGAAAAGAAAACTTATCAATTTGCAATTACCCAAAATTTTGTTTCTTCTTCCACCAACAAATAAATAATAACAAAAAGCTTTGTACACTTGTACTGTAACAGTAGCAAAAGAAATAGAAAACCTTTAGGGGAGTAGAACTCGACTTGACTCGAAAAGTTGAATTTTTGGACTCGATTCTATTCGATTCGAACTGATTTCGAGTTACAATTTTATAAACTCGACTCGAAAATTTTTTAAGGTCAAATTAAGATGTAAAATACAACTCAAATAACTCTAATTTTTTTATTAATTAATAGCTTAATTTTCAAGTTTGAGTCGAGTTCTTCGACTTTGTAATGTATATCACATATGAAAAAAATATGAAAAAATATATTTGTAATGTATATATAGTTATAGGAATTAGAAAGTCACTTAAATTGGAATCAAATAATATTATAATATTATAAATATTTATAATTAAGTTTAAACATAAACTCGAAAAATTCACTCGATACGAATTTTATAAACTCGATTCGACTTAAAAAAAATTTAAGTCAACTCAGAGTTGTAAAATAGAACTCATCAATTCAAATAACTCGGAATATTTTGACTCGATTCGACTCAACTTGATAGAACGATCACCTCTATTCCCAAGTCTATTTTCCACTCCCAGTCCACCTCCATGTAAAGATAGCGCACATGCTTCCTTCTCTCCCCCCCCCCCCTAAAACTCCGAATCTAACAAGTGTAAATAGTACTCCAAGAAGCTTAGGTTATGGTGTAATTGCCTTAAGTACTGCAATAACCTTATCACCGTAAAAAAGCCCTTTCTGTCTCTCTCATTGGGAGCTACGTGATTAGAGTTAAATAAGAGCAACAACTTCTTTCTTTTTTTCTATTAAAAAAATGGAACAAGAATAAAGCTACTTGTATAGTTCGCCCCCAGTTGGAGCTCCATTGAATGTAGAGAGGAGAACTGGAGACATGTTGACAACTCTGTCAATGCGGTGCCTTTTGGCTTTGTTGCAACCGCCATTCTCATCTCCATGTTCTTAGTCATGGCCGTCTTTGAACGGTTTCTTAAACCCTACTCTTCCCTGGTAGCAGTAACCATGAAGAATCTCAGCTTAGTTTTAATGGCAAGCTCAGCCACCCATCACCAAAAGGGAGTTGACTCTTTTGCTTCCATATCTGGGGTTTCGTCTATATGATCCAAACCCCTTCTCTTTTTTCTTTTCTTTGAATTTGATTGTTCAGCATGGTATTCCTTAGGGTTCAAAGTGGTTGGTTACTTTGTTTTAGATTGGCTAGCGTTGGGCTGTCTTTCGTTTTTCCGTTATGAGAACAGTAATAAGTAGTAATTTCCAGTACCTGATCTGACATAAAAGCTTCTCTGCATCGTACATCAGTAAACCCTCCCTTTTGTCTCATGTTAAATTGTGTTCGCTTTATATTCAGGGATTTACATTCTTGTAGTGGCGATAAAAATTAAATTCGACTCATAAAAAAATTTAAATTCAAATTGAGGTATAAAATGCAGCTCGAATAATTCAAAAACTTTAGAAATTAGTTGATTTATTTTCAAGTTTAAGTCGAGTCTTTAAACTTTGTATGATATATGTATACGTATGAAAAAAAAATATGAAGAAATATATTTTTATTGTATATATGGTTATAGAAAATCACATCAATTGGAATAAAATAATATTATAATTATAAATATTTACAATTAAAAAAAGAAAATCAAAAAATCGACTTGACTCAAAAAAATTTCAAATCAATTATGAGTTATAAAATAAGACTCGTCAACTCGAATAATTCGAAATTTTTTTACTTGAATCGATCGAACGCTCACCCCTACATTCTTGCAGATGTAGTACTTCGGCTACTGTTAATAAGTAGAAAAAATGAACCATGGGTTATCTATTGTTTATGAGTAAGTGTTCATATTTTGAACCATATTGTTGGCTAATTAATGAAAGCTGGTTTTATACGTTAATTTGAGGACTCATCTCTAAACCATCTTAGTTGCCTAACTTTTCTTCCTTTCCTGAAATAGCAAATTTATTTGATGTTTGTGTTGATTTTGATCATATAAAGGTGACTTACTCGTGCAGATGACAATATACACCAATGGAGTTTCAGTTGTAATGCCTGGGGACGAGATTCCTACTTTCATCGCACACCCGGCTCCGATCCCATGCCCCAATGTATGCCCTCCATTGCCTCAGCATCAACACGACTCATCAGTCAATCCTAAATCAAACTCCTCTGCTAACATCAATGCAAGTTAGGGGAGTATGATTTATGATTGCTGTCAGTGCCTTTCTTTTTGGTTATAAGATCGTTATTTTGTATATATAATTATATAGAGATAATTGTAGGTAGGCTGACTGGTTTTGGCAACACTTGAATTGTCTCCCTGTCAATTTCCACTGTTTCATGTTTGAATTGCCCATCAAATGAATCCGTTTACATGTAAAAAGTTTAGGTATAATATAGTGTTTTTTGAACTTTCAGTTCCACAACACCACCATGTTATTCAGAACTTTGGTGCCGGAAAATAATATTCGATGAATGATGTCTCATCCAAGACAAGAATCTGGGCCTAAAAGACCGGAAAAGAAGTAAAGAAAACGCAATCTTCCTAGACCTAAAACTGATTGCAACCAAAGATGGCCCATGTCAAACCAGCAAAATCTAAGCCCAGGCAAAAAGAAGTTATTCAGAGTCCCTACCTTTTCATGTTACGAGATAATTTCTCTACTTTTTGTATTGTCTCCAACATAGCACGTCCTCTAGTTGAAAAAACCAAATCTCCACTATCAATGTTTTGTAATGGAACAATAAAGCCAATTTGGTTGGGAAAAAAATTGAACTTTTGAACTTTGGGTGCATTCTATCTTTGTCTGTTCTCATGAAAGAGACGAGTACAGAAAGGTAAAAAGAAACAGATGTGATCTTCTTCAACCCCATTACGCCTTAGTGGAGAGAGGCCAACAACATATTCCATTAAGGGATCAGTATTAAACATAGGACCCCTTCCTTCCGCTGTCTTTGCTCACCTGCAACGGCTACACTCACATCTCCGGAATTCAATTTGCACCTTCATAGTTCATATTCATTTACTACACGTTGTGTTTATACTGTGGAATTTAGGGATCGTTGAATTATTAAAGCGGATTAGTTCTCTATGTTTCCCGTTTGGTTGAAAAATTATTAGAAGATTTGTCCAATAAATAACATTTTTCCTTTTCATTTTTTTAAGGTGAATTTTTACCTCTTTGTTATGTGTAAATAAAGAATTAACAATTATTTGGATGTTATTTTAAAATTAATGAATGTGATTCACTGAGATAATGAATGACGTAATAAGTAGAGTTCATAAAATAATTTCTCCTCGTTAAGTATTAATAAAGGAGAATGTTAGAAAAATACAAAGCTGCATCTTGAAAGGATTTACTAGTACTAGCAATGGCAATAATATGGTATGCCTCAAAATTGTTAATAGGTTGCTACAGATCCCACTTTAAAGGACATAATTATGTGCCTCATTTATCTTATTAAATCGTGATTATTGTCTAACGATGAACTTTAACGCTTAAAAAGAGTCACCAAGAACACTTCTAACCAAACCAACAACCAAAGATTAGAAAAAGAAATAATTGTATATTCATTGTTTAAAGTTCTTACTTTTATTTGAATGCTGGGATTCAATCATGATTCAAGACTGGAAATTTTGAATACAGAAGCTGGAAAAAGAAACCGATGATTTTTGTACAAGAATTTAGTCATGGTACAGTCTTTTGCAGAGATGCAGATCTTTTCCCGTACAGCAAAGAAGAGTAGACACTACAACAGCAACATTAAGTACAATTAAACGATAATTACAGTCCAATTAAGACATTCCATGTTCAACAAGCAAGCACCTAAAATTTCCAAATCCAGCAGTGGAAAACAAGACAAGTAGTGGACAACAGCCTACCACTGCAACTCTGAGTTCTGGAATCCCACAAACTTATACAACAAAATCTTCGTTTCCGGTTCAGACTGACCTTTGACTTCAATGTTTAATCAATATTCAGAAACTAAAACAACAACAAAAACGTAAGTGATAGATCTTTTAAGATACATTCTTAATCTCTAGAGAAAGATGAATCATTCAAGTGAAACAAGAGGATTTTCAAGTGATTCATTTGGAGTACTTGATGTCTCTAGAGAAAGATGAAACATTCAAGTGAAACAAGAGGATTTTCAAGTGATTCATTTGGAGTACTTGATGTAGCTCCATTATTATTTATACTTGGCCATTTTCCATCCATGGTGGTTGTAGTTGTAGTTGCAGTAGTGGTGGAAGTACCTTGATGCTGCACCACTTTTTTGTTATTACCGGACTCTCCCGGGTCAAGTCTGGCCCTACCACCAGGGGATGGATTAGTCCTTCCAGACGCGCTCCGACCCATTACAGGTCTATTCACAACTGGTGACCTTGACCTCCCTGAATTCTCACCCGGATCCTTCCTTGGCGGTTCGAGTCTTGACCCACGTCTCAATGTGGGTTCCCTGCTTTGAACCGACCTCACTGTTGATCCCCCATTGATAACCCCATTTCTTCTCCCGGGTGATTGCTCAAGTTTCCGAGTCGGGGACCTACCCACGACCTGATTCCCGGGCCCGGATCTTGCTGGAGATCTGAACACTCTTTGCGGCCTCGCTTTTTCTTCGTCTCTTCTATCTGTTGTAGTTGAAACGCTTTCACTTAAACTAACACTGCAAATCTCAGAAACATCTTCTGAAGCTGACTCTTCAATGGAATTAACAGGTGGTTTCAGCTCATGCTTAATGTTAAAATCCAGGCTTTCCTTCCCTTGGATCTTGACAAAGACCGGGTTTTCTATCAGGGTTTTCTTCTCTTCTTCTTGTGGGGTAAAGATGGGAGTTTTGGGCTTTGGGGTCTCAGACAAAACTTCTTTCACAGTTTCTTCTTCAGCGGAAGGAGGTGGAGCTCTTCCTTCAAGAATTGGTTTTTGGTTAAAAGAATCAAGACCCACCTCTAAATGTGCTTCCTTTTCACCACAAGAACCTCTGTTAGTGCTTACACAGCAGCCCATTTAAAGAAACGGAGGCTAGAGTTTGACTCAGAAACACAGTGACATTGTTGAGTTGAGATAAAAAAAACGAAGCTTTTTCCCTGAAGGTTCGGTTTTTCCCGGCTTAAGAAATGAAGAAGAGGCAGGGAAAATGGTAGTTAAATGGGAACTGACTGTTAAGGTGTCGTAATAGAGACGAGAGAGTCAATGAGACGCATTTATTCTCTAACATCACCTCGTCAGTTGGACTTGGCTAAGCTAAATTGTTGCCATTTCTATTCATGCCCTTCACAATTTTTTTATTTCTCGTTCAAGTCCCTTTTCTTATTTCTTTTTGTTGTTGCTTTTAACAGTACACTCTGTCTCGTGATTTGCGCAACTATATTTTATTTAGCGATCGGCTCAGGTGGAGAGGGATTTTTGTATGTTTACAACCGTCTGTGCGTGTGATTTTAGTGTGGCCGTTCGATGTATGCCATCAAATCTAAATCGAACGGGCCACTATAAACAGGAAGATCCAACGGTGGTGAAACCGTTTGGGGTTGACCATTTGATCTACCCGTTTCACGGATTTCCATGAACATGATCTGTTATAGTTGACCATGCGTAGACTATTTTATAAATAATTGGGAAATAATTCATATTAGTTTTCAAATTGATGAACAATACAAAATTACATTCTAAGACATTTTCAGCTTGGATCAGCTTGTACTTGCAATAAACACTATTTTGATGGAGGGTTTTAGCCTTTAATGTATCTGGACTAATAAATTCGATGGATCCAGCAATTGCAAACATGACAAACACATGCTTACCTAGGGAGCCCTCTCTTTATGAGCAGCGAGCACATGGTGAAAGTGCCCAGGTAAATGTAGACAGCCAATGCGAGAGCTGACAGGTAAGCAGGGAATTCTTGCAATACACTTTTATTAAGTTTTTTTAATAATATCCATAAGATTAAATGAATTAAAACGAACAATATCTTTATATATTTATGTGAAGTTTTAACGCAAGTTAAGGTAGTAAAGCAACCAATGGAATGATTGGGGAATTTGCACTCCGGAAAAAAAAACGTAAATGCATTTATGCAGTAGTTGCAGGTAAGTAAAAACAGTAAATAGGACATCACATTATTGGGACATAGCCTTTCTCCCATTCAACTGAAAGATTTTGAGTGTTGAGTAAAGACATGGGATGTCAAGTGTCGACACGACACGGAAAAGGGTTGTCATTTTGGTATTATAGTAGATACAGGGTACTATTGTGGATCTCTAATGTGGTACATTCGTCATATTCATTAGAATAACATTTTTTTTTGTAATCAGTCCAAAACGCATTGAAACAGTAAACGGGAAATCTTTACTAATTTGAGCATAGAAAATCATACATTTACTCAACTCTCTTGTAATTTTATTGGATCGGCAAGTCAAGCATCAGCTTTCGTCAGCTCGACAACTCTCAACAAAGTTTGGTGATAATAATAAATTTTTAACTTTTTTACCAAATGCTGCGGTACAATATTTCCACCCCGAGGAAGGTGAAAGCTGTAAAGCTCTTTAAAGATGACAGAGTAGTACTATTGCTACAAGTGAGCTTAAAGCCCATAACTCAGTTGCAAAATACCCAAACAGCTTCAATGAGACCATGGCCCATTTCATATATTATGAGGCCCGTAACCCAGAATTTCACATTTCTCCTGTTAAATAATCTTGCATATATGGAAATTGACAGGCCATTCTTTTAAATGAATATGAATTATGATTGCTCCCAAGATGAAGGCCAGGGAATAGAAAATATTTTATTTACACCACTATTTTTTATATTTTAGAAAATGATATCTAAAATAAATATTTTATCTATTTTTTTTACAATGATATTAACTTTTATATTAAATAATTTAATTTTTTTTAAATTAATTTTTTTAACTGTACGTTTCAAAAACGTTAAAAATACCTTTTATTATGTTGTTATAACCTATCTCTACAAGTTAAAATCAGTATAAAATATTAGTGTTGCACAACCAAGCATTTGGGATTCGTTCGGCCAAAGCAAACTAAAAAGGAGGAATAAGGTTCTTCTGAATAAATACAATACTCAAAGCCGAAAGAGGTCCAGTGCAATGAAGAGTGGTTCAAATGTGTAAGAGTTCTGTCTGAATTACGATTGGTTTAGTTCTGAGTGAAGGAAATATATTGGTTTCATTCCCAATTTCTATTCGGCCCTGGACCCTGGTGCTAGCTGTATTGTTTGTTATAAAATGCGGTTTAGAATTGTCCCCCCCCAACCCAAAAAAAACATGGTTTGGGCTCTTTTAAGCTGCTTCGCTTCCTGATTTTTCTTCTTCTTGGAGGCACTAAAAGAGTTGTCGTGCAATTATGTGGAGGTTGTGTTAGCCCTGGTAAGGGAGGACCTCTGCAATTCTATCTTCATTCTTGGTTCTTTCCAACTGAGGCTCTCGATGTATTGGTGAATGGTTTGTGGAGGTTGTGCTAGCTGCTATACTTCTGCTGAAGGAAATCCTATGCAACTCTGCCTTCATTACTGGTCCAATCCAATCAAGGTAATGAGCACTTGTATCTCCTTGCTTTTTTTTTTTTAAAAAAGTTCAAGGGCAGTGATAGTTTATCCATACTTGCGTTGTCCATAAGAAATTTCTTTGAAGTAGGTTCTTGACGTATTGGAGAATGGTTTATAGTTTTATATTTCGTTAGTTGTAATTTCTGTTTGGGGATTGGGTATTGATGTAACTTAGGATCGGTTTCGGCGTTTAATTTGTATTGAACTTCGGATATTGTTGCCGTGTTCTGGCTTTATTTAATGAATTTCCTGGACACTCTTTTCTCTCTCTATTATCTTGGTCGAATCTCAACTCGATCGGGATGGGAGGGAATTTTTAACTAGACCTAATTATTATTTTTAAATAAAAAATAAAATTAAAATAAAAGTATGAAAATGGAAATTTCATAAGTATTTTTATAAAATAAAGTTTTGAAATCTACTTATAATTTTAAAATGTAGATATCTAGTTATAAATAATTTAGATAAAGCGATAAAAAATAAAATAATGTTAAAATTAAATGATTAAATTAAAATTTTTAAAATTTAATAACCCTACTGTCTACTCGTCATTCATATTATTTTAATTAATTAATTTTTATTTTTTCCAACTTCATGTATCTCCTGATCTATCCTCTTTTTTTCCTTCATCATTTCAATTAACGACTCCATTATGTTCAAAGTTTTCTTACTCCTAGTATTATAATATTTTTTCATGATTACTTTAAATTGATCCGGATCGTACATCTAAATTTAATAGATAAGTATTCCGACAAGAATTTTCTCCAAATCCTAGTATTATAATATTTGTTACATAACAAATGTCCGTAAAAACCAATTAAGAAGTTGTTTAATTGTTATAAATAAAAATATATTTTTAATGTATTTTAAAAATATCGTTTTTAGTTAGAGTTATTAGACTAACATTTCTCGTCTTTGTTGCAGTGCGATTTAATAATTAAAGCAGCATTTTAGTATTATAATATATTTCATTTAACATAAAAAAATTAGTTATATGTATTTAACATATAAAAATAAATCTATCTTTTAAATATCAACTAAATATTCTACTCAGTATTTTGCCGCATTATTTATTTATTTTATTTATCTATCGGTGGAGTTCTACAAATTTGTACAAGCTGACTGGTATTGGAAAGTCGAAGTAAGTTTCTCTCTACAGAATTCACCTTCCCTTTGCAAAAACAGCCAGCTAATTTGTTCTGAAAATTCTTAACCTAATCTTTTCAATTCGCTTTTTCAAAAGGCATAATTTTAAGGGTAAAGTATAGTAATGGTCACTGAACATTTTTGAAGCTTACATTTAGGTCCCTCAACTTTTAAAACTTGCAATACAGTCCCCCAACATTTATTCCGTTTGCAATATGGTCCCCCAACTTAAATCACCGTTAGAAAATTAGGGTAAATTATATAAATGGTCATTGAACTTTTCAGGCACTTGAATTTAGGTCCCCAACTTTTAAAACTTGCAAAATAATCCTCAATTTCATTCTAAACCCCAAATTCCAAAATAATTCAATTTCACTCTAAACCCTAAATTCTAAAACAATTCAATTAAATTCTAAACCCCAAATTCTAAAATACTTCAATTTAAGGTTTAGAATGTAATTGAATTATTTTAGAATTTAGGATTTAGAATGAAATTAAGGTGTTTTGAAATTTTGAACATGAATTTACTATTTGACAGTATCATGTTCGTGTCGCCTGAAATTTTCCATCATTTCGGTTGAGCAAAAACCATAAATGAAAATTTGGAACATTAATTGCAAACTTCCAACCATCAGTACCGTTACAACAGGGTATATTTTGTAAACAAATCACTTGCTGGGCTTCAAGAGTAAAACGCCAAGCCACAACCTAAGTGATGAGAATATGATAATATAGCTTGGAAGTAAATGTAATAAGCAAAATACATAAACAAATACATATGTGAGATTATATGAGAAGTTCTAAATCTGAACATTGCTTTTGAAAGACTGACTGAATTGCCAATTTGAAGGCACCACATTAAGTGCAGTTCGAGTCTTGTCATTACTGACTTGGACCCTGAAAGATAAGGTCTGACCATTTAGGTAGCTTAAGCTCTGCCAATTGGCACCCCAGCTCCTCAACATGCTTTCCCATTTATTGGTTTTGGAACCCTTTACCCATACCTTTGAAATCTCTCCAGCACCCCCAACGTTTGATATCAGCACCAGCTCAAAATAATTCCTTCCATTGATGGTGAATCTCATGCCTCCCTTTCTCCTGCATGTAACCCTGGAAAACAAATTATTCAGATTTGCAATGGTCAAACAGTGCTTAGTATTCAAGTTCTTTTTTTATTCTTCTTTTTTATGGCAAAATGAGAACAGTGGACATATCTCCTGTAGAGGACTGGTACAATTCCAGCCCGGTATTTCGCTATGGTCTCGAATGCGGGTTGAGCCATGTCGAAGTGTGGTCGG